GGCCCGTCCCTGGAGCGGAGAGAGCTTATTAACCAACTGCCAAAAAATGTTATCTTTTATCACCATTTATTTGCTCAGTTTTGCATGTGTAAGCCCAGACTGTCGTTAGTCTCTGAACAGGAGGCAACTGAGACACTATTAGTACTGGGGTGAGGAGAAAGTGGAGAGGGATAGAAGAGGAAAATAGAGGGGGAGAGAGCGAGAGTATATGAGAGAGTAGGCGTCTCTCTATCTCTCTCTCTCTCTCTCTCTCTCTACCTCTCCTCTCTCTCTCTCTCTCTCTTCGCGCTCCCCTCCTCTCTCCTCTCTTTTTTCTCCTCTCTCTCTCTCTCCCCCTCTCTCCTCTCTCTCCCCTCTCTCTCCTTCTTTCTACTCTCTCCTCCTTTTTCCTCTCTTCTCTCTCTCCCCCTTCTCGTTTCTCTCATCTCTCTCGTACTCTCTCTCTCTCTCTTCTCTCTCTCTCTTCGCTCTTCTTTCCTCTTCTCTCTCTCTCCTCCCCCTCCTTCCCCTTTTCCCCCTCTCCTCTTGCTTCCTCTACCCCCGTCCTCCTTCCAGAAACGGCTTGTGACCCCCAATTGGCAATAAAAAACCGGCAGACATAAAAAACAATGCAAAACCCCCCCAAAAGAAGTGTGTATGTGGTCACTTCATGACAGGGGAGGTAGAAACAGAGATGCACTTTCTCCTTACTGTGATAAATATTCCTCACCAAGAGATGCATTATTCACAGAAATTATTACATTAATTTCCAAATTAAACGTATTAAAACCCAGAGGAAAAAGAAAAATATTCATGGCGAAAGGGGCAAAGGCTCCTCTTTGCTGCCAAATATGTATTTGCCTGCCATAGCCTGAGAGACACTGAATAAATTAATCTCTAGTAATAGTAAATTTTAATTTTAAAAAAAAAATAATATTATTATTACTGTTATCATTACTATTATTTTTTAATTTTTTTATTATTATTATTATTATTATTATTGTTTTATTTATTGTTTGTTTTTTTTATTTTAAAAGGGAGTTGACGGGGAATAGGGGGGATGGATATGCAGTTTAAAAGATGGTGGTGGTATATGTTAGTATGATGTGGTTGGTTTTGGTAATGATGCGTTTAAAGATTGGGGGGTAGTAGTGTAGATAAAGATGGTAGTAGGGGGATGGAAAGATGCATTTTTTGTGGTGGTGGAGTAGTGTAGTAGTATATGGTTTTGGGGTTGGTTTGCGTTTTGTGGTGGGGGGTTGTGTGTTTTGGGGGGTAGTGGGGGGGGTTGTGGTTTTGGGGTTTTAAGTGGTGGTGGTGTGTTTGGGGATGATTGGGGTTGGGGGGTGGGTTTATGCGTTTTGTGTGGGGGGGTTTTTTGTAGTTGTGTGGTAGTTGTGTCCCGTGTATGGGGGAAAAGACATTAAATTTGTTTAAGTTAGTTATAGTTTCATTTCCTGTTTTAGCCTTTTCTATTTATTAATTTTTAACCATTTTTTTTTTGTTATTTTTATATTCATATTTTTATTTTATTTTAAACCCCTTTTTTATTTTTTAGTTATTTTTTATTGTTTTATTTCAAATTTTAATTGTAAAACTTGTTGCTTTTCTATGTTGGGCCAAATTTTTTTCCAATAAAGCCCTTGAATTTTTAATTTGAGAAGCCGGGGGGAAAGAAGGAATGGAAAAAAAAGGGGAGACGAAGAAACGAAGGAAAGGGAAAAGGAGGGACGGAAGGGAAAAACCAATAGAAACCCCAAGAGAGAGAGGGGAAAAAAAGAAAAAAAAAGAAAGGAGAATATGTTTTATATAAAAAAACAGAAAAAAAAAAAAAAAAGAAAAAAAAAGATTAAAAAGAAAAAAAAAAGAACAAAAAAAGGGGGAAAAAAAAAAAAAAAAAAAAAAAAAAAAGAAATAATAAAATAATTTTTTTTTTAAAAAATTAAAATTTTTTTTTAAAAAAAAAAAATTTAAAAAAATTTTTTTTTTAAAAAAAAAAAAATATTAAATTTTTTTTTTATATAATAAAATTTTTAAAAAAAATTTTTTTTTTTTTTTTTTTAAAAAAAAATTTTTTTTTTTTTTTTTTTTTTTTTTTTTTTTTTTTTTTTTTTTTTTTTTTTTTTTTTTTTCTTTTTTTTTTTTTTTTCCCCTTTTTTTTCCCCCCTTTTTTTTTCCCCCCCCCCCCTTTTTTTTTTTTTTTTTTGGGTTTTTTTTTTTTTCCCCCCCCCTTTTTTTTTTTTTTCCCTTTTTTTCCCTTTTTTTTTTTTTTTCCCTTTTCCCCCTTTTTTTTTTCCCCCCCCCCCCCCTTTTTTTTTTTTTCCCCAAAAAGGCCCCCCCTTTTTTTTAAAATTTTTTTTTTGGGGGGAAAAAAAAAAAAGGGGGGGGGGGGGGGGAAAAAATTTTTTTTTTTTTTTAAAAAAAAAAAACCCCCCCCCCCCCCTTTAAAAAAAAAACCCCCCCCCCCCCCCAAAAAAAAATTTTTTTTTTTTTTTTTTAAAAAAAAACCCCCCCAAAAAACCCCTTTTAAAAAAACCCCCCCCCCTTTTTTTCCCTTTTAAAACCCTTTTCCGGGAAAAACCCCCCCCCCAAAAAATTTTTTTTTTTTTTTCCCCCTTTTTTAAAAAAAAAAAACCCTTTTTTTTTTTTTTTTTTTTCCCCCCAAAAAATTTTTTAAAAAACCCCCTTTTTAAAACCCCCCCCAAAATTTTAAAAAAAAATTTTTTTTTTTTTTTTTTAAAAAAAAAAAAAAAAAGGGAAAAAAAAAAGGGGGGGGTTTTTTTTTTTTTTTTCCCAAAAAGGGTTTAAACCCTTTTTCCCCCGGGAAAAAAAAAAGGGGAAAAATTTTAAAATTTTTTTAAACCCCCTTTTTAAAAAAAAAAATGGTAAGTGTCACACCTTGAATCAGGGAAGGTATTAGTTTGGGGGGAAACAAAGTAGGTAGCACGTATAGAGAGGGGGAGAGAGGGGTAGCACGTATCAAAGCTTTGAGGGAGTAAAGGACTAAACACAAAACAACCTTTCACAAAGTAAATCCTCCATCTTGTCTCTCCACAAACAGCTCCCTGACATTTCTGCTTTGTAATCAACTGTTTAAATGACTAAAGTGGAAAACTGCAGAGTTTAGCTGCGGCACGTCAGATTACCTAAACATCTCTTGTTTTTTCAGTCAAAGCCGACTTGATCAAAGATGTCTGACCGATGGTGCCAAAGAAACACTTCTGGATTCGGCATTGTGTGCCATAAATTGATTATAAAAATGTGCACTTTGTTTCTCAAACAGGCGAGACGTGTTTAGAAAAATCCCTCTTGACTAATCACCATCCTGGACCAGCCAGCACATTGTTAGTGCCTTTATTCACTCTCTAGTCTTTGCCTCCATGTCCAAGACAGAAACCACCGATACCACAGTCAACTGATATAAAGTTAAAGGGCCAACACGCTGTTGAAACAATGAGAAAGTGTGCTTCCATTTCTGTTTCGGTAAAAAGCTGAGGGATGGGGCTGGAGAAATGTAAACATTCTCAAATGTATAGACCGAGATATGGATGAAAGGACTGACCATCCATGATATCACAATTATAGTTTTAACCATGTTATTAAGACTATTAACATTGTTTACATACATTGGAGTAAAACACGCTTATATTTGGGGTTCTGATGGGGTACGACAGTTGAACTAAGGTCATGAGGCATTTATAAGTTACACTCTTCAATAAATAATGGGTATATACAGTAAAAAACTCGGTTGGTAAACTCTTATCACCAGCAGTCAGTGTGAAAAAAGTAACGCTCCCTACACTTTCAATGCATTTTTCCACAAAAGTCTGTCTAGCAAAAAAAATGTATAGGTAGAATGGTGTGTACCTGTGTTTACACTCCACTGTGTTTACCCCACACTGTGTTTACCCTCCACTACTCCACTGTGTTTACCCTCCACTACTCCACTGTGTTTACCCTCCACTACTCCACTGTGTTTACCCTCCACTACTCCACTGTGTTTACCCTCCACTACTCCACTGTGTTTACCCTCCACTACTCCACTGTGTTTACCCTCCACTACTCCACTGTGTTTACCCTCCACTACTCCACTGTGTTTACACTCCACTACTCCACTGTGTTAACCCTCCACTACTCCACTGTATTCACCCTCCACTACTCCACTGTATTTACCCTCCACTACTCCACTGTGTTTACCCTCCACTACTCCACTGTGTTTACCCTCCACTACTCCACTGTGTTTACCCTCCACTACTCCACTGTGTTAACCCTCCACTATTCCACTGTATTTACCCTCCACTACTCCACTGTGTTTACCCTCCACTACTCCACTGTGTTTACCGTCCACTACTCCACTGTGTTTACACTCCACTACTCCACTGTGTTAACCCTCCACTACTCCACTGTGTTTACCCTCCACTACTCCACTGTGTTTACCCTCCACTACTCCACTGTGTTTACCCTCCACTACTCCACTGTGTTTACACTCCACTACTCCACTGTGTTAACCCTCCACTACTCCACTGTATTCACCCTCCACTACTCCACTGTGTTTACCCTCCACTACTCCACTGTGTTTACCCTCCACTACTCCACTGTGTTATACCACTCCCACTACTCCACTGTGTTTACCCTCCACTACTCCACTGTGTTTACCCACTTCCACTACTCCACTCCACTGTGTTTACCCTCCACTACTCCACTGTGTTTACCCTCCACTTACTCCACTGTGTTTAACCCTCCACTACTCCACTGTGTTTACCCTCCACTACTCCACTGTGTTTAACCCTCCACTACTCCACTCCACTTGTATTCACCCCACTACTCCACTGTGTTTACCCTCCACTACTCCACTGTGTTTACCCTCCACTACTCCACTGTGTTTACTCCCATCCACTGTACTCCACTTGTTTACCCTCCACTACTCCACTGTGTTAACCCTCCACTACTTCCACTGTTTTACCCTCCACTACTCCACTGTGTTACCCTCCACTACTCCACTGTGTTTACACTCCCACTACTCCACTGTGTTTACCACTCCACTACTCACCCACTGTGTTAACCCTCCACTACTCCACTGTGTTTACCCTCCACTACTCCACTGTGTTACCCTCCACTACTCCACTGTTGTTTACCCTCCACTACTCCACTGTGTTTACCCTCCACTACTCCACTGTGTTTACCCTCCACTACTCCACTGTGTTACCCTCCACTACTCCACTGTGTTTACCCTCCACTACTCCACTGTGTTCACCCTCCACTACTCCACTGTGTTCCTACACCCACTGTTTACCTCCACTACTCCACTGTTTCACCCTCCATTACTACTCCACTGTGTTTACCCTCCACATACTCCACGGTGACCTGTTTACCCTCCACTACTCCACTGTGTTTACACTCCACTACTCCACTGTGTTAACCCTCCACTACTCCACTGTGTTTACCCCCACTACTCCACTGTGTTTACCCTCCACTACTCCACTGTGTTTAACCACTCCACTTACTCCCACTCGTGTTTACCCTCCACTACTCCACTGTGTTTACCCTCCACTACTCCACTGTGTTTACCCTCCACTACTCCACTGTGTTTACACTCCACTACTCCCCCCCACTGTGTTTACCCTCCACTACTCCACTGTGTTCACCCTCCACTACTCCACTGTGTTAACCCTCCACTACTCCACTGTGTTTACACTCCACTACTCCACTGTGTTAACCCTCCACTACTCCACTGTGGTTTACCCTCCACTACTCCACTGTGTTACCCCACACCTGTGTTTACCCTCCACACTACTCCCACTGTGTTTAACACCTCCACTACTCCACTGTGTTTACCCTCCACTACTCCACTGTGTTTACCCTCCACTACTCCACTGTGTTTAACCCTCCACTACTCCACTGTGTTTACACCTCCACTACTCCACTGTGTTTAACCCTCCACTACTCCACTGTGTTTACCCTCCACTACTCCACTGTGTTTACCCTCCACTACCCATGTGTTTACCCTCCACTACTCCACTGTGTTTACACTCTCACTACTCCACTGTGTTTCACCTCCACTACTCCACTGTGTTTACCCTCCACTACTCCACTGTGTTTACCCTCCACTACTCCACTGTGTTTACCCTCCACTACTCCACTGTGTTTACCCTCCACTACTCCACTGTGTTTACCCTCCACTACTCCACTGTGTTTACCCTCCACTACTCCACTGTGTTTACCCTCCACTACTCCACTGTGTTTACACTCCACTACTCCACTGTGTTTAACCCTCCACTACTCCACTGTGTTTACTCCTCCACTACTCCACTGTGTTTACCCTCCACTACTCCACTGTGTTACCCTCCACTACTCCACTGTGTTTACCCTCCACTACTCCACTGTGTTTACCCTCCACACTACTCCACTGTGTTAACCTCCACTACTCCACTTGTTTTTACCCTCCACTACTCCACTGTGTTTACCCTCCACTACTCCACTGTGTTTACCCTCCACTACTCCACTGTGTTTACACTCCACTACTCCACTGTGTTAACCCTCCACTACTCCACTGTGTTTACCCTCCACTTACTCCACTGTATTTACCCTCCACTACTCCACTGTGTTTACCCTCCACTACTCCACTGTGTTTACCCTCCACTACTCCACTGTGTTTACCCCACACTGTGTTTACCCTCCACTACTCCACTGTGTTTACACTCTTACTACTCCACTGTGTTCACCTTCCACTACTCCACTGTGTTACCCTCCACTACTCCACTGTGTTTAACCCTCCACTACTCCACTGTGTTTCACCCTTTCCACTACTCCACTGGTGTTACCCTCCACTACTCCACTGTGTTTACCCTCCACTACTCCACTGTGTTTACCCTCCACTACTCCACTGTGTTTACCCTCCACTACTCCACTGTATTTACCCTCCACTACTCCACTGTGTTTACCCTCCACTACTCCACTGTGTTTAACCCTCCACTACTCCACTGTGTTTACCCTCCACTACTCCACTGTGTTTACCCTCCACTACTCCACTGTGTTTACCCTCCACTACTCCACTGTGTTTACACCCTCCACTACTCCACTGTGTTACCCTCCACTACTCCACTGTGTTCACCCTCCACTACTCCACTTGTGTTACCCTCCACTACTCCACTGTGTTTACCCTCCACTACTCCACTGTGTTACCCTCCACTACTCCACTGTGTTTACCCTCCACTACTCCACTGTGTTTACCCTCCACTACTCCACTGGGTTAACCCTCCACTACTCCACTGTGTTTACCCTCCACTACTCCACTGTGTTTACCCTCCACTACTCCACTGTGTTTACCCTCCACTACTCCACTGTGTTTACCCTCCACTACTCCACTGTGTTAACCCTCCACTACTCCACTGTGTTTACCTCACTCCACTTACTCCACTGTGTTTACCCTCCACTACTCCACTGTGTTTACACCTCCACTACTCCACTGTGTTCACCTCCACTACTCCACTGTGTTTACCCTCCACTACTCCACTGTGTTACCCTCCACTACTCCAATGTGTTTACCCTCCACTACTCCACTGTGTTTTACCACTCCACTACTCCACTGTGTTTACCCTCCACTACTCCACTGTGTTTACCCTCCACTACTCCACTGTGTTTCACCTCTTCCACTACTCCACTTTGTTTACCCTCCATACTCCCACTGTGTTTACCCTCCACTACTCCACTGTGTTAACCATCCCACTACTCCACTGTGTTTTACCCTCCACTACTCCACTGTGTTTACCCTCCACTACCCCACTGTGTTTACCCTCCACTACCCCACTGTGTTTACCCTCCACTACCCCTGTGTTACCTCCCCTACGATACTCCTGTGTTTACCCCTCCACTACTCCACTGTGTTAACCCTCCACTCTCCACTGTGTTTACCCTCACTCTCCACTGTGTTACCCTCCACTACTCCAACGGTGTTTACCCCTCCACTACTCCACTGTGTTTACCCTCCACTACTCCACTGTGTTTACCCTCCACTACTCCACTTGTGTTAACCCTCCACTACTCATGTGTTTACCCTCCACTACTCCACTGTGTTTACCCTCCACTACTCCACTGTGTTACCCTCACTACTTCCACTGTGTTTACCCCTCCACTACTCCACTGTGTTTAACCTCCACTACTCCACTGTGTTAACCCTCCACTACTCCACTGTGTTTACCCTCCACTACTCCACTGTGTTTACCCTCCCATTACTCCACTGTGTTATACCCTCCACTTACTCCACTGTGGTTACCCCTCACTACTCCACTGTGTTAACCCTTCCAACTACTCCACTGCTGTTTACCCTCCATACTCCACTGTGTTTACCCTCCACTACTCCACTGTGTTTACCCTCCACTACTCCTTTTTTTACTCACTCTCACTGTGTTTACCCTCCACTACTCCACTGTGTTTACCCTCCACTTACTCCACTGTGTTTACCATCCACACTCCACGTGTTTACCCTCCACTACTCCCTTGTTTTAACCCTCCACTTACTCCACTGTTTTCCCCCTACTCACGTGTGTACCCCACTTACTACACTGGGTTTTACCCTTCCACTAACTCCACTGTGTTTACACTCCACTGCCTCCAATGGGTTTTACCCTCCACTACTCCACTGTGTTTTACCCTCCACTACTCCACTGTTGTTACCCTCCACTATACTGCCAGGATTTGCCCCCCCCCCCCCCCCCCCATTTAAGGCCCTGAATCCTATGATTCCTTTTGGGTAGTGATTCACTGCATATATTACAGCATCTCTTAAAGTGTACCTTTACTAAGCAAAGAGTAGATTGAAACAAATCAGCTTCTGATGTATTACAGATTTTTTTAAATTACAGAAACCAAAACTATGGAAACTCAACCTCTCCAAAACCTGAGCCGAACAGACTACCCTAGAAGGGTGCCCATGAATCCCCTGGACCAAACTCACATGAAAGCCCAGGTTAGGAAGAGTCTACTGCAGCTCAGGTCAAGAGTATCCAAGGAGGAGATCAAGCGAGCCACCGAAAGGCTGAAGCTAGGCAGGGCACCAGGAAATGACATCATACCACTTGTTCTAAAAACAGACATCAGTGCCACTGCAGAGGTCTTACACGGCTTACTGAACGAGATCTGGGAAAAATAAGAAGTACCAACAGAATGGAAGACAGGTTTGATTGTTACAACCCCCAAGAAAGGAAACCTCAGTGAGTGCAAGAACTGGAGAGGAATCATACTTCTCTCAATCCCCAGCAAAATCCTCTGTCGGATAATCTTGGATGATAGGATGCAGGACGCACTTGACAAGAGACTCCGAATGGAACAAGCAGGCTTTAGGAAAAACTACTCCTGTACAGACCACTTTGAAAACTCATTGAATGGCAGACACCATTAAACATCAACTTCGTAGGCTTCAAAAAAAGCTTTTGATAGTCTAGACAGAAACAGTCTATGGAAACTGCTACGGCACTATGGCAGCCCTCAAAAATATGTGAATCTGATCAGGAGTATGTATGAACGGTTCACTGGCCAGGTCATCTCAAATGGAGAACATTCAGATACAAACTGGAGTACGCCAGGCTGCTAATTATCCCCTCTGATTTTTCTAATAGCCATCGACTGGACAATGAGGAGAACCACAGCCCACCAAAAAACAGGGATCCAATCGAGCCCATTCACTCAACTGGAGGACCTTGATTTTGCAGACGAAATGGCTCTGGTCTCTGAAATCACAGGCAAATTAAACAAAAAAAATGTATCGACTAGAGGAAAACAGCAGACAACTTGACCTCAAAATAAATGTGGGAAAGACCAAGATACTGACAATAAACACCAAATCCCCCGAAAAAACAAAACAAAAAAAAATGTCAAAGACTCCAGCCACCCAAGTCATAGGCAAAATCCCTCGCATAGAACAGAGTGAGGTGGAGAGCCATGTTGGACGCCTAATGTCAAGAGGTTTAAGTCAAGTCACAATAGAAATGTGTCAATAGTGTGGGTACAATTATGACATTAAACATTTCTCCATAATGTTCCTATCCATTTAAGAACTGGTATATTGAATAATGAAGAAAATAATAAATCTTCACATTTACTTGCTTTAATTGAGTTCACAATCAGTAGGTTTGTATAGTATTTGTTTTGTCATTATTAGTATGACAACCAATTATTGGATATTATACTTCAGTAATGACGCATTTTGAATACTGCGCCTCTCCTACTAAAGTTTCTAGAATATGCTGAAGAGAGTCTTAGAGTAATGGTCAGGAAGTGAACAAACCGCCTGCCTGATTGCACTCCCAGTGTGAGTGTGTGTGCGTGTGTGTGTGTGTGTGTACGTATTGGTAGAGCATGGCGCTTGTAACGCCAGGGTAGTGGGTTCGATCCCCGGGACCACCCATATGTAAAAATGTATGCACGCATGACTGTAAGTCGCTTTGGATAAAAGCATCTGCTAAATGGCATATTATTATTATATTATTACGTATGTTTGTGTGTGTGTAAAGCATGTGTGTGTGTGTGTGTGTGTGTGTGTGTGTGTGTGTGTGTGTGCGTGTGTGTGTGTGTGTGTGTGTGTGTGTGTCTGCTGTCTGCGTGCATACATAACGTGAATCGTGTGTATCTCCACTGCCCACAGTACCTGCTGAGTGTGTAGGGAGAGGCCCTGTGACTTGTCTCCATGGTGCCCTTCATCACTAATGGCCTCCCACTGGCTGCAAGGCATCCTGGGATTAGGTTTGCACAGAGGCGGCTGATGAGGCGTGACCGCTAATCCACTGATACAGACAGCTGCAGTCCAGCTGATAGGCCCGGCCCGCCCCTCTTCTCCAGAGTCTGCAGGGGGGGTGACAGTGGGGGTGGGGGGGGGCTTCAGGTTTTGGGGTTGGTGGATAGCTATTACCCTGCGTTTGGGGATGACTAACCCAAATACTTTGCCTGCTACCCCTCAGGACCTCCTTAACAAATTCAGAGTGTACAGGCCACATGAGCTGCCCGGACAGAATGAAAACATGGAGCTTGGAGGTTTTGTCGAATGTGATGGTTGATTCATTGGCGTTTTCTCTTTGTTTCGTACATGTAGCTGTAGGAGTAATGGTGGTTTACGGTGGTTTAGTATTATCTAAGTCTCTCACAGAACATATCATGGTTAACTCTGTGTATCGTGGTTAACTCTGTGTATGCGGTTAACTCTGTGTATCGTGTTTAACTCTGTGTATCGTGGTTAACTTTGTGTATCGTGGTTAACTCTGTGTATCGTGGTTAACTCTGTGTATCGTGGTTAACTCTGTGTATGTGGTTAACTCTGTGTATCGTGGTTAACTCTGTGTATCGTGGTTAACTCTGTGTTTCGTGGTTAACTCCTTTTCTTAATATTACAGGGAGGGCTTCAGCAAGGTTGCACAAGCAACTGGAATTGAAGCCATAAGTCAGTGGCACAGATGGAACTATCCAAGCAGAAGACAAATGTCCTTCAAATGTCAATATTTGGTTGCGTTGACAACCAAAGCCAATTTAATATCCCTAAATATCATTACATTTAAAATCGACCAGAGCGTTAAACTCTAGGCCTATTATATTGTCTATTTGTTGGTTGAAATTCTGGTTTGATTTGAAACAGCTGTTGATGACTTTGCAAATGCTATAGGCATAAATAGCATTATTGATGATATATGATATTATCTAAGTCTCTCACAGAACATATCATGGTTAACTCTGTGTATCGTGGTTAACTCTGTGTATCGTGGTTAACTCTGTGTATCGTGGTTAACTCTGTGTATCGTGGTTAACTGTGCGTCTGCTAAATGACTAAAAATGTAAATGTAAATATGAACGATAAAGTATGGTCACATTTCAATTGCTGTTAAACCTACCCTTTGGAATGACCGATAGCAACAGTGAATCTATTTAGTTATTTAAATGGAGATCTCTCAGCAATCCTTCTCACGATAACACATTAGTAATAGTCAATGACAAATATCAAAGCTAAGCTGGGCTTGGTTAAAACACTGGATGGGAGTCCAATGGGTCGCTGTACATCAAGGCTCTCCAGCCCTGTTCCTGGAGAGCTACCCCCGGGCTACCCCTCCTTGTTACTGGGGGGTTTTAAACTCCAACCCTGTTTCCTGGAGAGCTACCCTCCTGTAGGTTTTAACTCCAACCCTGTTCCTGGAGAAGCTACGTACCCTCCTGTAGGTTTTTAAACTCCAACCCTGGTCCTGGAGAGCTACCCTCATGTAGGTTTTAACTCCAACCCTGTTCCTGGAGAGCTACCCTCCTATAGGTTTTAACTCCAACCCTGTTCCTGGAGAGCTACCCTCCTGTAGGTTTTAAATCCAACCCTGTTCCTGGAGAGCTACCCTCCTGTAGGTTTTCACTCCAAACCCAGTTGTAACTAACCTGATTCAGCTTATCAACCAGCTAATAATTAGTATTGGGTGCGCTAGATTGGGGTTGTTCAGGATGGTTGTTCTCCAGAAAGACGGTTGGAGTTAAAACCTACAGGAGGGTATCTCTCCAGGAACAGGGTTGGAGTTAAAACCTACAGGAGGGTAGCTCTCCAGGAACAGGGTTGGAGTTAAAACCTACAGGATGGTAGCTCTCCAGGAACAGGATGTTAAATTCCAGGAGGTGCTGCCCAGCTTATTGTAATTTTTTTCTGATAGTAGATATAACGTTGAAGATCTGATGTTGTTTTGAAGGTACAAATGTTTGTCTGTGTTGAAATTTAGTTACCATGATGACATAATCCTGTGGTTTAAATTTTTTTCAAATCCAATGTATTTTCCACGTATACTGGACAAAAATATAAATGCAACATGCAACAATTTCATAGATTTTACTGAGTTACGTTCATATAAGGAAATCAGTCAATTGAAATAAATGTA